ACAACAGCGAGGATGATTCAGTAATAACACCAATACCAACAAACCATGAGGTGGGTACTGCATTTCCCCATTTTACCAATGAGGAAACTGAGGCCCAGAGAAGTCAGGCAGCCTGCCCAGGGTCGCACAGCGAGTCAGTGGAGGAGCCGGGACTTGGGCCCAGGTCTGTGTGACTCCGAGCCCATGCCTCTCATTGCTACATTCCCCTGCCTTCCTGCCAGGACTGCCGAAAACAGGACGAGGAGGCTGGAGGGGGTGGGGAGCAGAAGGGCTCAATTGGGGCGCCAGAGGCTCCTGTTGGATGCTGCCTCTTCCAATGCCTTGCTGACCAAAAGATTTAAAACTATTTTTAAAGGAAATTATATTTATTATAAAAATAATACATGTTCATCGTGATACATTAGAAAAGTACAGAACAGTAGAGAGGACATCGAAGAGCCCCTCCACCCCATCAGCAGCAGCAGCCACTGGGGGCTTGCTTCCAGGCGGCGGGAGAGCAGAGGCCAGGTCACTGAGTTCTCTGGAGCCCCGCCCGCCCCCCTGCATTTATTTAATCACGAATTCTCTAGCATCTCCTGAGTGTCGGGTGCTGCCCTGGCTCCTGCCTGCCTTCGGCTGTCACCGGAATGAGGCAGATGGACAGTGTAAGAGAGCAGAGAAGGGCAACACAGCGAGGCCAGGTGGTGACAGGGCCCTGGGGCCACAGATGGGCCAAGTGCAGGGCTCCCCAGAGGAACTGCATTTCAGCAGAGCTTTGGAGTGTGAGCAGGAGCTGGGCGGGAGGCAGCGTGTCTGGACAGAGGGAACAGCCTGTGCGATGGCTGGGAGGCAGAGAGGGCTGGGCTCATTCAGAGCAGAGGATGGGCCCCGTGATGGCAACACAGACAGTGGGGCACAGAGGTGGGATCATGTTCCCGCCCCTGTAGGGGTGCTGGCAGGACCAAGTGAAGTGAGCATGAAGGCAGCTCCATGCCCAGCTGACACTGCAAGACAGTACTATGTTTTCTCTTTCTCAGAACCAGTGAGCTGGACATTGGAACTCTGGGTACCCGCTATGCTCTTTTTCCATCCTGCCGCCCTCACTAATTTGCCCCCCGTGCACCCTCATTGCTCTCCCTACTACCCCCAGCCTAAAAGAAGGGTAGGAAAAATAAAAAGAAATTCTTAGGAGTGTCCAGCCGCACAGCCTGGCTTTACCAACTGGATGCCTTTAACTAAGTCTGCAGCAGGAGAGACTTTTTATCCCTTGCAAGTTAATGCAAACTGTTAGGGAGATAAATAAATGACAGAGCTGCCGATGGACCATTGGGCTCAAAGGAGGGAAATTTGTCTCACTTTAGAAGAAGGACCTGGAGGGCTCAGCCCCATCGACTCGTTCATTGTGCTGTTATCTGCCAGCGGAGGTGGTGACACCACAGCAATTAAGACAAACTTTGGTCTGTAAGTTCCTGCCTGCAATCTCGTGGCTTCAAAACAAGACAAATGATACCGCCAAGGGAGGAAACAGAGTCTTTTCCAGACTCTGTCCAAAGTCACAGCAAATATTTGTAGATGTTCAGCAGAAAATTCGTCATTCCGAGGCCTGGGCTCTGCTGGCGCCCCAGCCCCACATTGTAAGCCATCGCAGTGGCTTGCGCTCGCCCAGGCTGGCTGCAGCTCCACCTGGACACCCCCGAGGGGCCCCACTCCTGGGCAGCCCCTCCCCACCTGCCTGCCCACTAGATCATGAGCATCTCTGGGATATCAGGGACACAGTTTCTGCCGACCAGAAAGGAGTCCTGACAGCAAGGAGTCCAAGCCAGGAAGTGCCACTGAAACCCAGCCCTGCCACTGAGGACTGACTTCCTCCCCTTCCCTTCTGCTCTCCCGCACCCTGGGCCGGCAGCTGGCCCCACAGAGGACCAGGCTCAGGGGCTACTTCCTGAGCTAGTCACTGCTTCCAGCTGCCTGGGTTCCCCACCGACCCCTTCCCACACTTCCTTCACCAAGGCCCCTCGGAGCCGACGCTGCCCTCAGCCTCGCACCTGCCCTTAGATTGAGTGTTTCTAGCTGTGTGAAGTGAAAACACCCTGACTCATTAGTGTAGAAGTTGGGACCTGGCCTGAGTACAGTCTCGGGAGTCACCGGCTCCTCTATGGAGTCAGAACACTGCCGGCTTCCTGTGCCACCGTGAGCTGTGGGCACTGCTCCCTTCATACTCTCCTGCTCCCCTTGTTCCACAGCCTTCTGTGGGCTTGCCTGGCATCGCCTCCCTCCTCCATGCCAGGACTCAGGGTCCCATGTTCTTCTCCCCACCTTCCTGTGTGCTGACTGAGAACAGACCACCCATCCTGACAGAGCCCAGACTTAGCTAAAGGCTGACACTCCGGTGGGGAATTCGGGCAGCAGCCTGTGGGGATGGAAGATGTCCTTGAGGCAGCTTCAGGGCCCTCTCCAGGCTCCGCTAGGCTCCAGGACCCGGGTGATGGAAGGGGCCTGTGGGGGCTGCCAGCCTGCATGCCTGGCACCACCTTGGGGGCCTCACTTTAAAGTCACACTCTGGCCTTCAGCCCTGAGTATGCAAAGGTCGGGGAAGATCTGCCTTCTTGAAAGGTGATGGTCTGATCAGCTCAAGCACAAGGCCCAGGTCCTTGGCCTCTAGACAGGGTGCCTACAGCTTCTCTCAGCTGGGTTGTAGCACTTAGCCTACCTTGCACTGGCCTGCCGACCTCCAAACTGGGCTGGGCCCCAAGACGGGGGCTCTGAGCCCCAAGGATGTGTCTAAGCACTTTGAGAACAACAGTCCCACCCTTCCTTTTGTTCCCTGCCTTTTTGCAGGATCTCCAAAGCCTTGGATCCTGTAAACTTGAGTCCCCAGATGGGAAGTCTGAGGGCACAGAAGCAGGAAGGAGCAGTGGGCCGAGTGCCAGGAGGCCTCCTTGCCTTTAAGCCAGGGTGGCATCTGCTTTGTAGTGTGACCTGGGCGCTTCACAGGGACCCTCCTGTCCCGGAAATGCTCCCCTACAGGCTCCCTGAAGGACTGAGAGGCTGAGGCTGAATCCCATGGGGGTCTGATCTCCAGAAGGTTCTGGTTAGAAGGCAAATGGGTGTCACTGCAGGCTGGAACCAGAAGCCAGAACAGGACGGTGACAAGTCCTGGGGAGATGGAGCTGCCGCCAGGGCCTTGGGCCTGTGTGCTCCCTCCCTCCACACTGCCAGCCCTCCCTGATGCCCTCGCACACCTCGGGGTACCTTCCGTGTGCCAGCCCTGGCCAGGTCCTGGGGGGAGATGAGTCAGACTCACCCCTGCCCTGGGGGGCGCACAGTCTGTACCCAGAGAAGAGAACAAAGAAGCTTCCAAGAGGAGATTCCATCTGAGAGGGGTCTGATGAAGACTGGGAGTAGGCTGCCTGGGCAGGGTAAGGGGGTGGTGTTCGGGGCAGGGGGAAGAGCTCGCTCCTGCCCCCGTGTTCCAGATCTCAGCCCTCCCATGACCTGAGGGCAAAGGCAGCTTGGCCTGGTGATGCCAAGGGCAACAAGAAGCGACTAAGCCTCAACAAGCCAAAGAGCGCCCTGCCCTCCAGCCAGAGGAGTGCCTAACTCCCCCTGTCATCCCAAGACTTTGAATGGAGGGAAACTTAGACCTTGGGGGCAACCCCAAAGCAGGAACTCCCCACCTGGGGTCCATGAGAGAGCGGGTGCCTGGGGCTGCAGGGACCCTACTTGTGAACAAACCCCTATGTATGCCCATGGGTGCCTGTTAATCTGGGGCCAGGGTTGGTCTCTTTTGTGGGATACTCATGGGGGTCCATGGCCCCAGAGGGTGAGGACCCGTCTCTGGAACATCAGGGCTGGGAGGAGCTCCAGGACTCAGTGAGAGAAGCCCTGCCTGTATTGACGAGGAAACAGGCTCCAACAGAGATAAGCTCCGTCCAAGGTCATGTGGAAGCTGGTCTCCAGGCCAGGGCTTCACTGTGGCCTCCAGTGCAGGGTTTCACAGTGCCTGAGGGGTGTGCTGCCATCCCCCGAGGGCAAGTCACAGGGCAGATCCCTGCACCCACGTGCAAAGGTACTGCTAGTGTCTTTGCACATTGTGCACAAACTCTGTGCTGGACAGATGCGGGGCCTGCATGTGCGTGCTAACAGGCACATGTGCAGTGCTGGGGTTGCTGGCTCTGCAGGTGTGGCTAAGGGGGCCTACCTGCTTGCTGGGTCACCTTGGGCAAGTCCTTTGGCCTCTCTGTGCTTCAGTTTCTCTATTTGCAAAATGGCAGATTAATACCACCACCTATGCCACGGGATCGTTCTGAAGACTGAATGTGCCTATGAAGGAGGCCTTTCCCCCACCTCCCCTGGTTTAGGGTGTGGAGATGACAGCCTTGCTGGGAACATCTTCTCAAAGCAAGGGTCAGTGTTAAGTCTGAGCGGTGGCTGGTTCACATTCTGGGGCGGTTAGGCCCCCCTGGGGAGCCCCTGAGCTTTCCTGGTCACTGAGCGCCCCTTCCTTGGAACGCCCACAGCATGTGTTCCTTGTAGCATCCCTGCTCCGAGCACAGCCCTGATGGCCTGGGCTGCAATTCTGAGACCTTCCTGAATGCAGGGAACAGCAGGTGCTCAGGAAGGAGATGAGCGCTTTGTCCCATGCCCGGGGCAGCTGGATGCTTGTGCTGCTTTGAAAAAAGTATTAATAAAATTATGATGGCTCCGATCCTGGCTGAGAAAATAAAATGATGCTCTGTGCACAGGGTGGTCCCTTCAGTGGGCTGGGAGTCAGCCCCGCCACTTTGGCCACTCAGCCAACAGACATTTATTGGACACCTGCTAGGCCTGGCTCTGTTCTTGGCACTGGGGATACCATGTGAAGAAAACAGACCAGAACCTCTGCCCATGTGGAGTGTACATGGTTTGGTGTGTGGGTGTATGTGTGTGAGATGGGAAACAAGGAGACAGTAGATAAAATAAATTGCAAAATTAGTTGTTTGTTGCAGAGTAACAAATGCAATGGAGGAAGAAGGTGCAGGGAAGGGCAACCTGGGTCCCAGGAAGCAGGTGTCATTCTGAAGAGGGGTCAGCTCAGGACTCAGAGATGCCATTTGAACCGAGATCTGAAGGGTGCAGAAGTGAGCCATGGGGACACATGGGGAAGCCTGCTGCCACCCCCACAACCAAGGTCTGTGTTAGCTGGTCTAACACTCGCTGCCAGTGACACAGCAACAAAGTAGTTTAGTTCGGGCTCATCTAACAGTCCACGGCAGCTGTTCCTTTGGGCAGCACATCCCTCCGCGTGGTGATTCAAGGATTCAGGCTCCCTGTGCTGCAGCTTGGCCCTTCCAGCCCCGCCACCGTGGTCATTTGCCTTTGGTAGGAGAGTGTTGAAGGCACAGCGAGGAACGCACTTCTGCATCTTAGGCTTCTTGGCCAGGAAGCAACATAAGCTCTGCTCTCATTCCAGTGACAAGCACTAGTCACATGGCCCCCATGAAATGCAAGGGACCCGGGAGACGTCACGCCAGGCTGAGCGGTGGCTTCCCGGCAGCAGCCATCCACTATGGAGGGAGCATGAGCCTTTGGGGGCAGCCAGATGTCTCTGTGCCCGAGTGGGTGGCACTCTGTTCAAGCATCAGTGAGGAGGCCACGGTGCTGGAGGAGAGTGAGAGTTGGGGGTGGTGGGAGTTGAGGTCAGAGATAAAGGGGGCAGATGGCAGGGTCACACAGGCCATTGCTGGGTCGGAATGGCTGGGAGCCGAGGAGTCAACAGGGGCAGGCCATGATCTGCCTTGTTTCACCGGCTCCCTTTAGCAGTATGTGGGGTGTAGACTGCAGGGGGCAGGGAGGGAGCAGGAGCCTGGTGGGAGGCTGTTGCCCGGGGCCCAGGAGTAGGGCCCCGGAGGAAGATGGGAAGTGGTGGAATCCATGCATTTTGAAGGCAAAGACTACAGGAGACACCCAGGTGGGCTGGATGTGGGGTGTGAAAGACAGGAGCAAGGCTGAGTCCCGGCATCTCAGCTTGGGCACTGGGAGGACAGAGATGCCATTTACTGGGCTGGGGAAGTGGTGGAGGAGGTGCTGGGTGTGCGCATGGCATCAGTATTGCTTTCGGATGTGGCAGGAGTACTCAGATCTCCAAGTGGAAACCTGAGCCTCTCTCAGTGCCTTGGCTGTAAAACGGGGGTTACCACACTTACCTGGTGGGTGACTGAGAGGGTTACCTGAGATGAGGCTGTGGGCAGCCTGAGGTGAGTGAGCTTTGGGGTCAAGGCTGGTGTGGGGTGGCCTGCTGCAGAGGAGCCGCGGGGGGTGCGAGGAAGAGGAAGGGCCTCTCAGAGTGGCCCGGGGCTCTTTCACCAGCTCCTGGTCTCCTGCTCCCGGCTCCCACCGACCCTGGTCACATCACTGTCGGAGCTGGTGTTGCTGTTGGGACAGCCCGGCCCTCAAGTGTGGGACAAACCCCAGTCCAGCAAGAAGCCCAAGAAGGGAGTCCCAGGTCCTGGCTCTTGGACTTGGTTCAGGGACCTCCATGCCTTCATTTTTCATTTATCAAATGGGCTGGGCTGCAGGCCTTGTCACAGAATGTCGGGGGGCACTTGGGCCGTTTGCAGGCACCTGGGGAAAGGCAGCTCTGGGCACAGGGGGTTGGCACTGCCACACATCCTTGCAAAGGTGGGGCTCCCGCCCTGCCCCGGCCTCAGGTGGGTAATGGACTACCTGCACAATACAACCCTCAGGGCATGGGGGCCACAAAGCAGTACTACTTTTATTCTCATCAGTGATGCGGGAGCCTCCATTGTTGATGTCCCACCCCTCCACCCACCCTCAGTCAGTGTGTCCAGATCAGAGTGGGGGAGGGCATGCCCCAGCAGGGGCTGGCCGCCCCAGAGGCCGCCCTAGGCAAGGCCATCTGCTGGCAGGGTGGCAGCTGAGAGCAGGGCAGCCTGGGCCCAGCAAAGCTCTTCTGGCGCAGACAGCAAACGGAAAGGGGGTACAACAGGTGGGTTTCCCCTTGGTGACCAGTCCTGGGCCGTCAGTGCCCCGAGGCCTCACGGGGTACCCTGCTGGCTCCGCCTCTCCTCCAGCGCCCTGCACACCCACATGGACACCACAGTGGCGTTTCCGTCATTGAACTGCACGATGAACGGGTGGCCCTGTGGGGAAGAGGAGAAGGCTGTGAGAGGCAGTCGATCCCCGGACTTCGTACTGCGTCGCACTTTCCAAGGCCCGTCTTGGCCAGGACCTTCTATCTTCTCCCCAGAAGCCCTGAGAGGTGAGGAGGGCAGCTGTCGACCCCATCTCACAGCTGGATGACTGAGGTCCAGGGTGCAAGAGTGGCATCCTGTCTGGAGCACTCACTGCGCCCCTCAGAGCCTGCCTGGTGCTCGGCTACCTTCTCCTGAAATTCCCACCAGCCTGCAAGCTCCCTGGGGAGGCTTGTCTGGACTCCACATTGCCTGGTCTCCCCAGCCCTGCACCCCTCCGGCGCACCTGGCTCCTGAGCTGCCAGTGTTCCAGGCCAACCTAGTCCTGCTGCTGCCCAGAGACCAGACAGTCAGCTTGTTGGGGGCTGTCAGTCCCTTCTAGTTTTCTTCATCTAAAGCCTCACAAGTCAGTCACAGTCCAAGAGCGGAGGGAAGGCAAGGCACCTCCGTCAGGGAAGGAGGGATGTGCGGGTGTGTGCAGACATGTCCTGGTCCCTGGTGAGAAGGTGGGGGCCGAGCTGGACTTCGAGGGGCCGGTGCTGCCTCTGACTACCTCGCCCGCAGGCAGGCCATGTCACATTTAGTCCACTCCTTCCCCCGCTGTTCTGAAGGATCAGGATTCACACTCAGTCTTAGGGCCTCCTGGGAACATCCCGGGCAGGTCAGAAAAAAGCAGGGGCAGCCATAGGGTCATCGTGGCCATAGGTCAAAGGTGAAAGGAAAACAGAATCATTCTCTTACCCCCTCCCCACCAAGTGGCTTCTCTGCCAAGGAATGCACACCTGGTGGCTTCCTCCCTGACTAACAGCTTTGTAGGCTGAGACTTGGGGGGCCATGGCGGGCGAGAGAGAGGGGGGACTGCCGGCTGCCTTCCCTTCCCCCTAGCTTCTTCTCCCCCTCTCCGCTGGCTACAGCTCCCCTGCTCCCTCCTGCTTTCTGGGCCCTTCCTGGGACCCTCTGCCTCCCCACGGGCCTGAGCTGGGCTCTCAGGGCTGCTTTCCCAGTACATCCCAGTCTTGACCTGCAGCCCTGGGGGACGGCCATTCCCTGGCCGCATGCGTGCAGCTCCAAGCTGCCTGGAAATGGGCTCCTCACATGGCCCAGATGCCCTGGGTGCCCCAATCCCAGGGTCTGCGGGAACAGTTGAGGACGAGGCCAGGGGAGGGAAAGGGGCTGCTTGGTCAGACCTGAGGTGTCATGGGAACAGGAAGGGAGACTGGCCAGGCTCCCTCCCTCAGCCTGATGCTGTGTCCCTCTCCCCAGCTTTCCCGGTTTGTCCTGCAGGGTGTGGCTCAGGTGCAGAGAATACTGTCAGAGGTGCAGTGGGGTGGGGGGAAACTCAGCCCAGAAGGTGCCAAGGGCACCCAGCCCTGGGCACAGACTCGCTCACGCTGTCACGGAGCCAGCCTGGAGCCAGGCTGGGCACCACCTGGGATTGGCCTGTGACACTCTGGGGGGCTCTCGACACATGCACAGGGGCAGGGGAGTTGGTGGCCAGGTTGGGTGGGTGTCCTGCTGGCAGCACAGGCCTGGGTAGGCGCCGAGGCAGGAGGGGCCCTATCTCGGTTCCCATATGTTCCGACCCCAGGTGTGTGCCTCCCTACACCTGCCTTCCTAAAGTGCCGCCTCCATAGAAGGAATTCTTCCTCGAGTCAGAGCGTGCACATTTCATTTTCAGGATGGGTAACCTTGCGCCCTTGTGAAGAACAAAGGGAGAAGCTGTGCTCAGGAGCCAGTGGGGCCCCCTCCCCCTGAGCCTGGGGTAGCAGTGTCACTTTCCCCGAAGGCCCGGTGACTTTGGGGCCCATATGCTCCATCTCCGTTATCATCTGTTCGGGAGCAGGCAGAGCGGAACTGCAGAGGGGAGAGGGGTGGCACTCCTCGGGCCGGGGCAGGCTGGCGGTGCTCCCTCCTGCCCTCCTTGGCTGCGAGGTGACCCCATCTCCTGTCTCCCTGAAGCTTCATGCCACCCGAGGGGGCGATGCGGACGTGGGGTCTTGTCCCCAGCTTCCGCTGACTGGTTTGGAAGGAACCCAAGGGGGAATCACAGAGAGAGAGAAGGGAGAGGGACAGACATAAGGGAGCCCCCGGTCTCTAGGCGTCCAGTGCTCTGGCTTGTGACCTTGGGGGCTGCTGGCAGCGTGGCCGCCACGTGGGAGCAGTGAGCATGCAGAGAGCTGCAGAGGGAAGCGGAGCAGGCGGAAGGCTGTCCAAACAGTGGGGAGACCAGGGGGCCCTGCTACCCGGGCCTGGCAGCGTCTCTGCCTACAGGGGCCATAAACACCTCCCAGTCGGGGGTACAGGCATGAAGTCACACAGGTGGGCACTATAATCTCCACTTACAGGTGAGGAAACAGAGGCTGCAGCCTTGTGGCCGGCCTGCTTGCCTCCCAGAACTGTGGCTGGATCACAAGTCTGTAATCTAGACCGACTGCCCAGGCTCACCGGCAGTGGACAGAGGTGGGAGAATCAGCATCCATCCTGCGATCCCTCCTTGCCTTATTTCTGCCAGGTGATCCAGGCCTGCCCAGCCAGAGGTGGGACTGAAGCTCTGACCTCGAACCATCCCGGGTCCTGGCGTCTGTCAGTGCTGTCCCTGGACACACTAGGAGAGTGCTCTGTCCCTGTAGCAAGTCACCCTTAGCTGATTCCTCCCCCTCCCACCAGCCCCATGTGGGAAGCAGGGAAGTATACCGTCGCCCCATTTTACAGAATAGGGGACTGAGGCCCAGGGAAAAGAAGTTCTAGGCCTGAACTTGGGTCTTCTCTGGTATACTCTCTGGGTCGGAGTGTGTTCCCTGTGACCCTGGCAGGGTGTCTTCCCCTTCCTCCCTAGAGTGGAACTGACACTTCTCCAGTGCGGTGACATGAAGGACGCAGGTACTCCTACTGAGCCGCCAGGGTGAATAAAATCTGACTAACAGCTCTGGGGAAAGCATGAAAATCACTCAGCCACCCCGAGGTGCCTGGGTTTCTACGTGGCTCCAGACAGGCCTGAGCAGATGCTGACCCGGCCAAATGTTTGGGGAGTCCTGGCAAGGCCAGACACCTGGAGATGGATACTGAGCCCAGCACCATGGACGGAGTGCTGTGTGCCAGGCACTTGCCAAGGGCTTCTGTCCTATCTTCCCGCTGAGTCACTCTGGAGGTGCACACAGCTCTTGCATGCCCACCTTCCAGAAGAGCAAACAGATCTGAGATCATCGAGGCGAGTGGCTGGGCTGGACCCACAACATGAGTCTCCTGACTCCGAATGCCATGCTCAGGATCAAGCGCTCTCCTGCCTCTGTGACCACAGAGCCGGCCTCTTGGGCCCCTCCTGAGTTCTTTTGGCGGCCGGAGCGGGCTCCAGCCCTGCTGCAGCATCGGGAGGAAGTGCACACCCCTCCCAGGCAGAAGAATCCAGGCATGGACAAACTCTCGCAGCCCCATCGTGCCGCAGGGAGCAGCTGGGGTCTGGTGTGATCCAGGACACCCACGTGCAGCCCGTCAACGCATCCCCACCCAAGGTGACTGCCCCAGGCACCCAGGCCTCTGTCTGTACAGAGAGTGTTGGCGGTGCTCAGCAGAGGCTGGCAGCGTGCGCGCCAGGCGGGAGCTGCTGAGTGATCTTTCTGGCCTCATCACCAGGCAGTGGAAGCCACCCTCATTTCCGGATTCTCTCAGGGCCAGTTGCAACAATTAAATCGGCGAGGGTTGAAGTATCATGGTCCACAAACTTCGCCACAGAAGATGGAGACATAATGAAGGGAAGAGGATGGGACTGCAAGAGGTGGGATGGATCCAAAAGTGGGACACGGGGGAGACAGAGAGGCAGGTCAACAACAGGGATGGCTGGCGTCACCCAGTGTGGACGCCCCACGGTGGGGCTGAGAAGACCGTGTGCTAGCAGTGAAGCGTGTCAGTGGAAACCCAGTACCTCAGGACGAGGAGTTGTAGCTGTGCACTCCCCCTCCTCCGGGTAATAGCGTCCGGGGTTTCACTGGCATTTGACCCTCCTTCTGTAATTATGGCCCTCATTTGTCCCCAGTCCTCTCACTGTGATGATGAGATGCATTTCTGCTGATGAGCAGCAGGACATGCTTGGGTCCCTCCTCTGTGGTCCACACTCTGCCCTGGATTAGAGCACCCACTGCAGGGCAGGAAGCGGGGGTCCCAAGCCCAGCACCGTGGGTGGGAGCTGCCTGAGCTCAGGCATCTGCACTCCTCGTCCAGTGCCCATTCACCGATACCTCCCTCTGCCCTTGGTTGGGTTTCCAGTTTCTTCCCAAATAGGAGTTTACCTATTTAGGGTCTCCACACTTTCTTCTCTTGTATAACTTCCTAGAGAACATCATGCATTTGAACCATATGATGGCTTCCTGGCAAGGCCTTAGCACATGACGTGGGCCCTCAATCAGCAGCAGGCCTGCGGGGTAACAAACTGATCAGCCTATTGCGTGTGTCTGCCTCTGTTCACAGAGCTCTTCCTGTGTGCCCTCTGGCTGCCTTACATCCGCACATGGCCTTGAGCCCTCCCAGCCCTCCCAGTTAGAAACAAAAGAAACCGAGATCTCAAGAAACGTGACACAGGGCAAGGTCACAGAGCTAGAAAGTGGCAGAGTTAGGGTTTGAATCCAGGCCTCTCTTCTGCTATGGAGGAGCCCAACTCCTGTGCTCCCTGAGGTCGGGAGTTCTGAAATTTCTACTTTTTAAAGACGGCATCTTGTATAGCATAGGTGATTTTTAACCGGTAAACTGAAGTCATGGTGGCAAAAAGGCATTATCTGTGTTCTCCCTGTTAAAAATCGTGTCAGGTACTTCTAATCAAATCATTAATTTAAAAGTCAGCAACTCTATTGAGTATGATCACTATTCCCATTTTACAGATGAGGAAACTAAAGCAGAAAGATTAAGGAACCTGTGGTCCAAGGTCACAGAGCTTGAACAAGCCCTCAGCCAGTATGCTG